ACTGCATCTGCCGGACCTTTGCCCACTCACTTAAACTATCTATAACCCCCTGCAAACTTTCAGAGTCTTCTGCACACTTTGCTCTACCACTCGTCTTAGTTTCATCTGCAAACTTTGACACACTACACATGGTCCCCAACTCCAAATCTTCTATGTAAATTGTAAACAATTGCGGTCCCAACACTGATCCCTGAGGCACACCACTAGCCACTGACCGCCAACCAGAAAAACACTCATTTATCCCTACTCTTTGTTTCCTGTTAGTTAACCAATCCTCTATCCATGCTAATATGTTACCCATAATGCCGTGCATCTTTGTCTTATACAGCAGCGTTTTATGCGGCACCTTGTTAAATGCCTTTTGGAAATCCAGATACACATCTACTGGGTCCCTGTTGTCTATTTAATGTCTTCATAGAATTCCAGTCAGTTAGTTAACTTTCATGAGCCTGCCTTTCATGAGCCCATGCTGCATCTGCGCAATGGGACAATTTCTATCTGGGTGTCTCACTATTCCTTTGTTGATGATAGATTCAAGCATTTTCCCCACTATAGTAGTTAAACTAACCAGCCTATAATTCCCCATCTTTTGTCTACCTCCTTTTTTTCAAACAGTGACATCACATTTGCTGTTTTCCAATCTGCTGGAACTGCCCCAGAATCCAGCAAATTTTGGAAAAGTATCATGAGTGCATTTGCTATTTGTCTGCCATCTCTTTTAATACCCTGGGATGCATTCCATCAGGGCCAGGAGATTTGTCTACCTCTAGCTCTAGCTCTAGCTCTATTAGCTTGCCCAACACTACCTCTTTCATGATAATGATCGTTTCTAGTTCCTCACCTACCTTAATCTCCTTGTCATCAATTATTGCCATGATATTTATGTACTCCACTGTGAAGACCGACGCAAAATACCTATTCAATGCTTTGGCTATTTCCTCATTCCCCATTATTAAATGCCCCGTCTCATCCTCTAAAGGACCAATGTTTACCTTAGCCATTCTTTTTCATTTTATATATTTGTAGAAACTTCTGCTATCTGTCTTTACATTCTGAGCTAGTTTACTCTCATAATCTATCTTACTTTTCTTTTATAGCTTTTTTTGTGGCTTTCTGTTGATGTTTAAAATTTTCCTAATCTTCTAGTTTCCCACTGGTCTTTGCCACTTTGTATGCCTTATCTTTCAATTTGATAGCCTTCCTTATTTCCTTAGACATCCATGGCTGATTACCCCTTTTTGTACAGTCCTTCCTTTTCACTAGTATATACCTTTGCTGAGCACTTTGAAAAATTGCTTTGAAAGTCCTCTACTGTTCCTCAACTGTCCCACCATAAAGTCTTTGCTTCCAGTCTACTTTAGCCAACTCCTCCCTCATCTTATTGTAGTCTCCTTTGTTTAAGCATAGGACCCTTGTATTGGATTTTATCTTCTCATTTTCCATCTGTATTCTAAATTCAACCACACTATGCTTGCTCCTTCCAAGAAGTTCCCTAACTGCGAGATCATTCATTATTCCTGTCTCATTACACAGGACCAGATCTAGGATAGCTTGCTCCCTCCTCAGTTCAATTACATACTGCTCAAGAAACCTATCATAGATACATTCAATGAACTCTTCCACAAGGCTGCCTTGATCAACTTAGTTCGATCAATTGATGTGTAGATTAAAATCCCCCATGATAATTGCCGTACCAGTTTTACAGGCAATAGTTATTTCTTTGTTTATTGCCCGTCCCAAAGTGATGTTATTATTTGGTGGCCTATAGACTATGCCTATCAGTGACATTTTCTTCTTAGAATTTCTAATTTCCACCCAAATGGATTCAACCTTATTCTGCATAGAACCTGTATCATCTCTCCCTATCACACTAATGATATCCTTAAATATCAGCCTTACACCTTACCATCCTGTCTGTCCTTCCAAATAGTCTGATACCCCTGGATATTTAATTCCCAGTCGTGACCATCCTGCAAACATGTCTTTGTGATGGCTACTAAATCATACTCTTGCGTAATGATTTGTGCTGTTAACTCACCTACCTTGTTTTAAATGCTGTGAGTAATCAGGTAAAGTGCCTTTATGCTAGTTTTTATACCTTCATTTTGAATTCTAACATCTCCATTAATATTTCCTGAGCTTTCCTTCCTCTTAACTTCTTTCATAGCCTTTGAAATAGTTAACCCTCCTGCACACATGTTAATCTGCTGCTTTCTTTTCTATTTACCATTATACTTCCTGTCATTTTCCCCTTCCCATCCTTCCAATTCACTAGTTTAAAGTCCTAATGACCAGCCTATTTATCTTTTTCACTCGAACACTGGTTCCAGCTCGGTTCAGGTGTAGACCGTCCCAACGGTACAGATCCCTTTTGTTCCAGAACTGATGCCAATGCCCCATGAAATGGAACCCTCTTTCCCACATCACTCCTTTAGCCATGTGATAGCTTCCTAAGCCAATTTGCACGTAGCTCGGATAGTAATCTGGAGATTATAACCCTTGAGGACCTTTTCTTTAATTTCATTTCTAGCGCTTGATAATCCCCAAATGGTCCTTCTTCCAAGCCTGGCCTATGTTGTTTGTCCCAACGTGGACCACAACAAATGTATCTTCGCCCTCATGCTCCAATATCCATTCAAGCCAGTCAGAGATATCCCTCATCCTGGCACTGGGCAGGCAACACATCATGTGGGACTCTCGATCCTGCTTACAAAGAATGCTATCAATCCCCCTGATTATAGAGTCCCCTACAACTACCACTTGCCTTTTTGCTTCCCCCCTCTTGAATGGCCTCCTATATCACCATACAGTGGTCAGCTGACTCATCCTCCCTGCAGCCCTTTTCCTCATCCACACAGGGAGCAAGTACCTCGTACCTGTTGGACAAGGTCAAGAGCTGAGGCTCCTCTGTTTCTGAATCTAGGATCTCCCTACCTGCCTCACTTACAATCACCCCCTGCTGTCCCTGATCACTGACTGAATTTGAAGTACTTAATCTACCAGGTGCGACTGCCTCCTGAAACAAAGCGTCTAGTTACTTCGCCCCCTCACCCAGATGTGCCGCAGTGTTTGAAGCTCAGATTCCAGCTCATCAGTTCTGAGCCAAAGTTCCTTGAGCAACTAACACTTGCTGCAGATGTGGTCACTGCAGTTTGCAATGGGATCAACCAGCTCCTACCTCATACACAATGAGGAGAAAGAAGCATGTTTACTGTTTAAAAACTGGTGTCTGGTGTGGGTATGCCATAGTGATGGAATGCCTTAATAATGCTGAAGTATAAATAGTTCAGGATATTATTATCTTTGGGATTTGCATTTTCTTCTAGGAAATTTCTGATAAAAAGTCTTAGTTTCTGGTGATTGCACAAACTCCATGCATGACGAGGTTCGTTATTAAATGACTGCTCATGGTACAAAATGGTATATAAAAGTTATGGTCTCAACTTATGATAAAACTGGGAGAATCAGAACCCAGAGTGGAAAGTAACTTGGTAGATCACAAGTTTTATTTTTGTCTTTGTTTACCATGATTGTCAGCCATTGAATATATTGACAAGAGAATGTCAATGTACATTTTTACAAAGAACATTAAAGTTTATTTACACAAAAGCAAAACATGAGCTACATTATACTATGCAAGAATTATTTGGACAATCTCACTACAAATATCAGAAAAAAAGATTGATCCTTTTACTCCAGCAACAACTTTACAAATACTCAAACCTCAATGTAGAATCACTCTGGTGGAACTTTTTTTTTTAAAGCAAGTCATTTCTTGTAGTCTCAAATCCTATGATAACTGTTTTGTTTACTGAAGAGCTTGAACCTGCATTTACAATTTTCAGGATTTAATGTCTGCTTTGGGTATTGTTTGAAGTAGTTGTGTCTAGTCTGCTGAAGGAAAGGAACTTCCCAAGTTTTCCTGCTTTGGAAAAATCCTTGTTGTGAATTCAATGTAAAATTTGATTAGATTTCTCAAAAACATCCAAAACAATCTTTGATTCTGGATTTTCTTTGGGAAGCTGCCTTTACCAAGTTCCCAGAGACAACTGCCTATGTTAAGTGACACCCATCTACACATGCCACAATGCCAGCCTATCAACCAGCTGGGAATTCCACACATTTTCTTTTGTGCTTTCAGGAACTAACCAACTTTGGCCAAAGTTGTTTATTTTTTCCACAAAGTGAATCTCTGCAGAGAGGGAGAAATCTTTTCTCTCCCTGCCTCTTCTTAACCCCCCCCACCCTGCCATCCCTTGGTGTGAATCAATCTGTGATTATGTTTTGGGACTTTTAAAGGGGAAAAAATTTATGCTATCATATTTTAAACTGTGTGATAATTACCTTTACATACTTGCCAAATAATTCTTATTTTCGCAATAAATCACTCATTTTGTTGCTTGGTAAATAAAGCTGGTTGGTTGATCTTTTTTTTATTTTAAACCGGAAATAGATAATATTATCCAAATAGCCATATCAGGAACTGGCTAAAAGATTTTAATTTCTGCTGTGGTCTACAGAGGATTGTGATTAAAGAGTGATCCAGTACACTCCTTCAGCCTTGCTCATAACAACATTTATTGCCTACATGTATGTAAGCATGGTACAACAGGACTTCACACATGCTTTCATCTATCAGTTCTCAGGCATGTGTAGTCTGAGGTCATGAAGACATAGCTCCTTACACACACACATTCAGTCGCTATTGTCAGAGTATTCCCACACTGAGGTTACCATGGAGGACCCTCCTTCTCAACCTCTCCCCTCATCTGAGGCGTGGTGACTGTCAGATTAGACTACCACCAGTTGTCAGCCTCTAAAGAGAGAGCATATTGTCCAGTAGGGTTATGGCAACTTTTTAGTTGAGCAGTTAACACTTTACATTTATCATTGTAGAACACAAAATGAACAGAAGAATTCATCCTCTGTTGCTCCGCATTCTTAAAATAAAAGCTTTGTCACTCATCAGCATAATTAGTAATAATTTGTTTCTTTTTCAGGTCAGAGGATGTCCAGAACCTCACATAACATGGTATAAAAATGGACAGCTTATCCCAAAGAATGATCGGTATGTTACAGAGCAAAGCACACGTGGAACCTTCAGCCTAGTCATAAAACAAGTGCAAAAAGATGATGCTGGAAAGTACACATGTGAAACTGCTAATGTCGCTGGAGTTCGCCAAGTCACTGTGGAGTTAACTATACAAGGTATGTCCATATAACTAATCTGGTGGAATAATGATTCTGACTCATTACATAGCAAGTGAAGTGAACAGGAAGATTAATCCTTTGCTAGCTGTTACCTTTTAAATAATATTATTGCCAAACAGACTCCCTCATAACATATATCTTCATTTCCATTTTACTTTATGCTATGGTGGCTTAGTAGTTATTACTGCTGACTCATGGCGCCAGGGACCCAAGTTTGATTCCAGCCTTGGATAACTGTCTGTGTGGAGTTAGCATGTTCTCCCTGTGTCTGCCTGGGTTTCTATTGGATGCTGCGGTTTCCTCCCACAGTCCAAAGATGTGCAGGCCAGGTGGATCAGCCATGGGAAATGCGGGGTTACGGGAATAGGATACGAACTGGGTGTGGGTTGGATGCTCTTTGGAAGGTCGTGCAGACTCGATGGGCCGAATGGCCTCTATCTGCACAGTAGGGATTCTGTGATTCTGATAGGAACATTTTCAATAATTTTGTCCTTAGCATTAAAAATTTTGTATCAAACAAATACCTGTACTGTGCAAGTTGTCAAAGTTTTCGTAGGGAATGGGAAAACTGCAGTGGCAAAGGAAAAATATGTGAAAGATAGGAAAATAGTGATTTGCTCATGTTTCTACTTGAAAAAGAACAAATCTGTTATGTGAAAGGAGTTTTCTCATGTGTTTTTTATTAAACAATGTGCACCTATCAAAAATCTCAATCTATAAGAGAAAATACATCACTATCTTTAAAATGCATATCTTAATTTAGAAACAATGGGGAAAAATGTATTAATCAACAACTTCCAAAACAATCACATTCTTCAAACTATTTTTTCTAGACCTCTTTGAGTGTCTGAGTTGACTATATAAACCTAAAAAATAAAAAAATCATGTCATAAACAAGTTGACTTATCACTCCTTTCTCAGAAATTACGCAGTTTGCTAAAGTTCCAGAAAGTTGTGCAGGAAGTATATGTGCAATTACAGACGGATCTGCAATGCCACCAGATTGAGCGCAGGCAAAGAGTTGTATTTTTACCATGGAGGCAGGAATCTTGAGTTGGGACCTGTTTCCATGAAAATGCATGACTGTTGCTCCAGGGAGGTGTTGGGACTTGAGGAGCACGATTGAGTCAGACCTGTTGCCTCTGGAGACAGTTCAGAAGTGGCTTCGAAAGTGGGTGAGTGTCAAGGTGGACTGGTCAGAAGGCCCGCCTAGGTTCACTAAGGCTCTGGCACAGTTTTATAAATGGATATTAGGTGCTTTAATCCTCGCCTGTCATCTTTCAGCCACTTCCATGGCATCCCATGTGATGCCATGTTACCTCCATGGACATTTGCACTATGTGCTGATGAAAATAATAGCTTCTAACAATCTAACAAGAGTTATCACTCATACATATTTGCTGCTGAAGAAACCTCTTATTCATGAAACACTTTCAAAGATTTGAAATCCTATCAAGTGGTTAAATTGTTACAAAAGCAGACAAACTTCCATTCGCCAAGCATGTAAAGGACAGACAAATCTTTTAATAACCTCAAGTCTGTCACCCAAAATGTGAACTCAGCATTTCTGCTGAGGTAAGTGGTTTTGGATCATTTGAAACTCAGCCAAAGCATCTGAATCCCAACCATTGACATGCTCAGTTAATCGAAGTGTTGCCTGTCAAAAAAAATTACCCTTCAACCCCTCCCCCGATCCACTCCACTCTGTTTAATTTGGAAAACTTTAGATAACCATCTCTGTGAAGGGCCATAATTTCCATAGGAAAGTTACTATATTAAATGGCTGTGTTTGCTGCAACTGCATTTGCAGAGTACTCTCACTGCACACCATTACAGTGCCTGCGTCATCACTTTTTTTAAAAAGCTGCTTTGATTGTCGTCATCACCACTAGTAATCTCTCCGACCATTCATTACCATCTCATGTTTTTTAAAAAGAAAGTGTTGTCTATTTCCATTGAATCCCTCAGCTTGGGATTTTGATCTGGTTTGGATGTTTGTCGATTGCTGCCTCAGCTAGCCCATTCACCTCCCACTCGCTGCTTCTGCCCTCACTGAGGCGAGCAGTGAGTGAAGTATGGAATAGGAGGGCAGGGGTGCAAGAGAAGTCTGTGAATGAGGAGGAAAGCAGGATCAATTGGCACACAACAGTGACATCAGTGACATTAAGGTCCTTTCCAATGTGGATGCGCAATTATAACACCAGTAACAGTAAATTCATGTTTTAGTCTATTGGCAGGTAATACAGTGATGTTATGGATAGTAAGGATGGTGCCTACTTCAATAAAAACTCATTGTTATGACCTTCAGTTTGTGTTCCTCTGCAACACGCAATAGCTGCTGTACTATACAAAAGCATTGTACCTAGAAAGTACATAATTCACACAAAGTATTCAAAATAGTTTCAATGTACATTTAAACAATCCATGCTGACTTAATGGTGAGATCAACTCAAGTTTGGCTCACTTGAAGCAGTGCTTCTGCAGCAATGTAGGTAACATGCTGAGCCCTGTTGATGTATTTTCAGGAAATATTGTCTGTATCTGGATGGCTGAGCAGGCAGTCGAATAAATCTTCCTCCTGAATGGACATTCATCAATATCAAAAACCTTTTGTTTCGGAAGGTGTGAAGCTGCTACTAATGATTGTGAGGCTTTTAGTTTTCACAGCCAAATACGTTAAATTGCAGCATTCAAAAAATGATTCCAAAATTCAAACATAAAATCCTGAAAATCAGTGTAATGGAAATAAATATTCAACCCCCGTGAAGTAATTGGCTAAGTCAAAGGCCTTTCCTCACAATTGTTATTCAGTTTATATCCTTTTGTTTGAGATTTATTGCAGCTATTTGTCAGTTTTCATTAGTTTCATAGGTTGGCATATATAGTTTCATTTGGAATCAGATACTAAAACCATAGTATTCAGCCAGCCTTCAGGCCTTACACTAATAATCTTTTTATTACACAGAGGCTGAATTGATAACTAGCGTTAGTAGGTTAGTGACAAAGATCGGTTTCAGATCCACACTTCCAGCGATTCCCACTGGATACAGAATGGGCATAATTCATAGAATCCCTACAGTGTGGAAACAGGCCCTTTGGCCCAACAAGTCCACACCAACACTCAGAGGATCCCACCCAGACCCATTCCCCTATAACCCACCTAATCTACATATCCCTGAACACTTTGATACTTTGACATTGATATTTTATTGAATTCAAATTCCACCTGTGGCAGGATTCAAACCCCCCAGAATGTTATCTGGGTCTCTGGATTAACAGTCCAGCGATAATACCATTAGGCCATCACCTCCCCAGTCCTGTGCTTCTCAGCGTTCCCTTTCAAGTTAGATATACTGTTTTTCACTCTCCCCTACACACTACTTTTCCTGATAACAGACCTGCTGGCTTCTTGATTTTCAGTTTTAATGAAGGCTGACAGGGAGAATTTCTCTGGGACTCTCAGAATGACAGCACTGTACAAGTATACTGTAGGTATCATTAGCAAAGAGCGCCTGACAGCAAGATACCTACTCAATGGAATCACATTATAGTCAACACAAGTTCGCGTTTTGGTGACTAGGACCACTGAACATTGGAAAGCTTTCAGGTATTACCACTTCATGGAATGAGTGCTAAATACCCAAGACTTTCCTGTAAAAAAGCATGTGAACAATATACCATTTTGAATTTGGAAATTAAGCAGTTTGCAGTGTGGCAGAGAAACCCTGTGAATTGCAAAGTAGCATTATTTCCAGGTCAATTGCCACTGCTCATTTATTAGCAATGCAAAGACAGCACTTGGCATTTAATTTCCAGGTCAGTTTCACGGTATTGCTCTGTTTGAACATTATTTCTTATAAAATCCCAACCGAAAGTTAGGCCTAGTATTTAAAAGAGTAATTATCTCTTTCACAACAAAATGATTGTTAATGGCTGTTGTCCAACTTCTCTACCCCAGAAGGTGAACAATTTAGTGCAGAGTTTCATTGCTTCAAACAGTGAATTGTTGGAAATTTTAAAGATTGCTGTACATGTTTCCTTCCTGTTTTCTCTATCCTTCTTATTTCATCATTGTTCTTTTCCTGCCCTCTTTCTTTCTATTGTGCTTGATTTGACTCTAATTCCCTGTATTTTTACCCTTCCACTGTTTATTTCCAAATCTTTTACCATTGATTAATTATAAATGTTAAATATGACTTTTAGATTTATTGAAACTAATTGTATATTTTGAAATACATTTACAATGCCTACTAGTTAGATTAGTTCAAAAGTATTTTGCCTGCAAGGTCCTGAAAGTGCAAAGCAGATTAGGGCATGGCGAGAGCACCATAATCTGGGGGCTTGCTGAACAATGGGACAACATTGAGCCTGATTTTAACTCAGAGTTATAATCAGGCTCAATGTTGTCCCATTGTTCAGCAAGCCCCCAGATTATGGTGCTCTCGCCATGCCCTAATCTGCTTTGCACTTTCAGGACCTTGCAGGCAAAATACTTTTGAACTAATCTAACTAGTAGGCATTGTAAATGCATTTCAAAATATACAATTAGTTTCAATAAATCTAAAAGTCATATTTAACATTTTGTAAATAGTACAGCCTTCTAGCTGTTTCTAGTTAAAGATTGGAGTTTGGATTGCAGCAGTAGACCAGTGATGTTATGGGCACCCTTTCCTAATCTAGTGCATTATTTACATCATCTGTACTGTAGGACTTTGTTTTTTCTGAGTATGAGAGGCAGAATATTGGAGTGTGAGTCATTGCAATCCTGCCAAATACCTGCTGTGTACATCAAAAATAATTCTAGGGTTTTTAAAACATTCTTTCACAGGATGTATGTGTCTCTGGCTGGGTCAGCATTTCTTACGCATCCTTAAAGCCCTTGAGAAGTTATGAGTCTAATTCCCCTGAATAAACTCTTAGGTCCAGGATTTCAAGCTCTCATTGGGTCCAAACTCACTGGTTCATCATCCAGGTGACAAGTGTCATCTTTGCCAGGATTAAACAAGATGATACATTCATAATTAAATGGGCATCACAGGCTATAAGAGGCCACTGGGTTTTACTGCAGTTTGCTGGATTGCCCCAGCAGCTGGGCATGCACCCATGTAACCATCAGAGCACCCAGTGACTGGCCAGTGAGATCCATCAACAGAAAGGGCTTCCATTCCCTCAATGTACAACTGGCCTGCAACCTACAACAAGAATTTTCTCCATCTGCAAAGTCACCTTCCTCGCAGCCATCATGCTCCTTGCATCCTTCACCCGTGCAATCTGCCTCAGACCTTCCCAAGACGCATGGATGGTTCCTAGGGGACAAGGGAAAGCCCTCAAAGACAAATCTACTAATTCCTCTCTAGGACTGCCAGACAGAGAGACAAAGGTAGTCCAGCCAATGCCATCCACTTGGTGAGGTAACCATTGAGCAGGACATCAGTCTTCTGAAGATGTGATTTGGTGTTTGGAATGGCCAAATGGTGTTCTTAACTGTCCTTTTGCAAGGATCTCTGTCATTATGATGAACATCTGCACTTTCCATAACATGGTTGCCTGGAGAGGTATGGTCTTTGAGGATAGTGAAGTTCTGGAAAGGGACAGCTTATCAAGGGAGGATCAGAAGAACATAGGGGTGCCCCTACTGCATGTTGAGCTGGTCATCTCCGTCATTCTCTAGAAAGAGAACCTCCCTCCTGTCTGTTATTACCTCCAGCGTTCTGGATCAGCATCAAAATTATATCTACCTTGCCCTGTGTGTTAAGCTTCCAGCTCTTATATTTTATTTCATTTTTTATTGATGCAGTCGAAGGCTTTGCTGCAAACCACAGATCTATAGGACACCTACCTCAATAGTGGCGGCAGTGCAGTATCTAATTAAGTCTGACACTTCATTGGATCCACCTCTATCCTTACACCCACTGAACAACAACCTGTTTCACACTGATTTTCTGAAGAAGGGTCCTGACCCGAAACGTCAGCTTTCCTGCTCCTCTGATGCTGCCTGGCCTGCTGTGCTCCTCCAGCTCCACACTGTGTTATCTCAGACTCCAGCATCAGCATTTCTTACTATCGCAAACTGTTTCACATATCAGTTATGAGCTCAGACTACCAAAAATGTGAACTTCAGTTAGTTTCTCATCCGAGGTGGGTTTCTAATAAAAAAACAAACTGAGTTCCTGTTTTGTAACCATCATATGGAAAATCCAGCACTTGGCGTTAGACATGGCAAGTGATGTAGGGTGTATCAAAATGGGGAAAACAGCTAAGTATCATAACAATTGATGTTTCAGATTCAGAAGGACTGTGCCAGTAGGTGGAAGCTGCTCATCAGTGCACTCTCAGCTGATGTTAAGTATGTGACGTGAGCAGCAATATAAAATGCAGAGTAATTACGTGCAGGGCTTTCTGTTGATAATGAAGCAGAATTAATATAATAATAGGTACAATTAGCAGCTTAATAAAAACCGAAAGAACTGCAGATGCTGTAAATCAGGGACAAAAACAATTATTAGCTTTATTGATAAACTAATGAATCCAATTCTTTGAATTAATTGGCTATACTTTCAGAAACACGTCTAATCAGATTTTTATTTATTTAACATTCATAAGTGCATTCTAAAATATATCATGTATTTTTAGTGAATGGTTTAAAAAAATCATTTAATATTTTGTAAATATGACAGTACCCTTTCAAACATTAAAGAAAACAAACTTCAGTTGCAGATTGGAGCTTTGATCAGCGCAATTCATCAGTGATGTATTGGACACAATTTTCAAAATGTCTATTATTAACATCATCAGCGCTCGTGCATTCTGACTGGGAGGAAATTATAAACTCTATGTAGGTGAACACTGCAAAGAATAGATTGATTGAAACTGAATATGCTGATGCTTTTAGTTTTTAAAGATGCATTCAGCATTATATGCTGTATTCCTTCACAATGCATGGTAAAAGTTGAAGAAATAAATCAGAAAAATACATTTGAAGTGTATTAATTAACATAACTTGACATAGGTTGATCAGTTTCCTATTAATACCAGTAATGTCTTCGACAAATAAATTTTAACTATCGCTATGAGATTTACAAGTGTCACTGTACTTGTTTTATCACATACTTAACCTCTGTGCTGTTCTCCCCTTCAGGCAACCACCTCACAAGGTCCATTCTCTGGCTTTCTATCTGCTTTTGTAGTGCCCTCTGTTGGTGGATTAATATCATTGAATCAGTCACTAAGAGAATTTGCAAGGGTGTTCACACATGGAAACAGGAAGACAGATGTAGAGAGATTGGTGGGAAGAACGTTATCTGTATCTGTAAGCTTGACTGAAGCTATTAATGTTAACAGACCTCATCTAACATTTTGCAGGAGTCACCAGGTAGCAATTAAGACAGCATGCCCCGATAAATTGATTTTACCCCCTTACAAGCCAAACATCTGCTTTGCCTGTCTTACTTCCGTTCTGCAATTTCTCTTTCTGATAAATGGGTTTAACTCTCTTTCTGCCTTCTGTTTTTCTTGTATCTTGCAGTTAATCTTTCCTCATGGTTGTGTTTAGCTTTTTTGTTAATTTCTGATTTTTCATCATTTTTCTGCTGTTCGTTTCTTTGCCCGTTTATGTTTTTAAGTGTTTTATTTTCACTTAACCTGCTGTAAATAATGTCCATGTCACATTTTGAAGATATTTGTAATATTTCTGTTTTATGCTGTTTTTGTCTTGTCAATATACAAAATAGTTGGTCCTATTTTGTTTCAGAGTGCAAGAGGTATTTACAGCACTTAACTATTGCCTTAACTGGGAGCTGATATTTTTAAGAGCGATGGTATTATTTTTATTTCTGATTTTATTTCTGTCCTTTCTTCATGTCATTGCTACAGATCGTTTGGCACAATTCTGAATTAGTCTATCTGCTGACCCAGATTCTGCAATTACAATTCCCAAACTTCATTTCAGATAGGTGAATTATATCTTGAAGAGATTGTTGATGACTGCACCTGACAGGATGTCAGTCAGGGTCTCCTGTATGTTAATCATTTTTATTATCTCTGCTTCCATGTAGCATCGCAGAAGGTACCGTGATTGGGCTGTTTCTGAGGAAGCATCCAGCTTTATGGCTAGTCAGGCATTCACTTATCTTGGTCATGTCATTGGATCTATTCTCCATGCTTCAATTCGAAGCGCAGATCTCTGCCTCTGTTAATACGTTCCCAAATTAATCTGTTTGCATCTGTCAATGCCAATGGGTGATTGAACACAGAACACATCTCATGTAGCTTGAACTACTTGATATCCTGTCCTTTTGTTCTTGTTCTTAAAACTGCTTCAGATAAACCAACTCTACATGGATAACTTAGTGTCAATAACGATGAAGAAAAGCTAAATGTCTGAAAGTCATTTTCCATAGTAACATCAAATTCTTTATGTTCTTCTTGCTTTATTTATCACAGTGTAGAAGTCTTCAATGCTTATTTGACGTGGACATGATTTAGACCTGATCCTCTGCAGCTGGTAATAGTGTGTTGGGCAATCCAAAATTAATATTTAAATGAAACAATTATTTTTCCAATTCTCCCATCAACTGAGAGCAAAATTGTAGTAGAACAGATGTCTTACTATATTCCATTATTACTATTTCAATTTATATTGTAACTAATGCATCTGTCTACTGTATCACAAATAGAGACAGTATAATGTGTCAAAATGGTAACTAAATTGTCATTTTTCTGTGTTTATGCATATTTTTTGAAAAATTAGAGGAAGACTTTGAACGTACTTTGTTTTTGTTATGATACTCAAATTTTCTGATTAAATAGGAAGAACATTTTGTTTAATATTGATGAACCAATATAATTTCTATAGAAACTGGTATTGGGTAACATTCAGCAAATCCATATAAAACTTTAAGTCTTTGCCCGGCCCAGATTAAGGTTGCATTGGCAATCTACATAAGCCATGCTTCAGTATATTTTAACTTGTTCTAGCATGTATCAGAACAGGCAGTTCATTGTGTGTTACACGGTGCAGATGAGCACTCCAAAAACCGGACTTTGGCAAGTATGACTTTTATGAACTGTGTTTTTCTTTATATTACAGAGGATACCAACAGGAAATATGGATGGCCTTCCAACACCAATGCTTCCAGGTATATGCGTATTTAACAATGTCAAATAATAGTTTGCAATAAAGGAAGAAGTCAAAATTTGGAAATTGATCTTGACCTTACATTCCTGCTAAACGTTGTGTGGGTAGATGCTCAAATCCACAGGGCATTTAATGCCAAAAGCTGACAAGGCAGGGATTCTACTGAGCAAGCGGTGAGGATACCATGAAATTTTACCTCTATTACAAGCTGCTGTAGTTTGACAAGGCAATCTTTTACAGTACACCAGTCATCTCTTTATGTTGTACTAGTTTTTTTCCCAATCAGTTAATCCTTCCAATAACAGCTATAGTTAGAGTTCCCAAGACTCTTCTTGATGAAGGTGGCCATCAGTAGCACCCTCTTCAGAATGAGCCTGAACGCTCAACAATTCAATTCAGGCCATTCTAAAGAGATTCCAGGACCACAACGATTACTGTATTACTGTGTTCAATGCAATGAATATTCTGTGATGAAAAAATTCTTTATTTCAATGATAAGTTTGTCTTGTTAAAAATTGAAGCAATGTAATTTATCATGGTCTTCCAATTTACCTTTTATATATTATTTATAGTCATACATAAGATAACGGAATCAGACATCTACTTTTAAGACTGAAAAACCCAGGTTTTTCTAGATTTTCCTTGTAATAGAAGTCTCTAAACCCGAAAACCAGCCTTGTGACTTTGCTTTGCATTGAATCCAAAGCTCGAGTTGTCTCCTGGTGTCTAACGATTTGAGAGTACAGAGAGCTCAGGGTGTAATCTGAGCAAACCATTGCATGGTCTAATTTTGTCTGACATTTATGCTGCAGTTCTGACCAAAGAGCTCAAAATTTTATTGACTTTATTGCTTGCAGCTTGTTCATCACCATTTATACCACAATCACTGATTTTCCCTTCAATATGTAACACGTTCCATTTCTTTATAAAATTTAATTTTTTTTTTGCAGATTACACATTTTGTGCAATTTATTCTATAATTTCTGAGTTTCCAACCAGAGTTCAACTCCCACTTTGTTTACTATCTCCTGGAAACATAAAAATTTAGAATCTGAGACCAAATTATTGATGAAAATTAGTAATAGTATCAACACACATCCTTTGATAATCCTTTCAGAGATAGTAGGAACTGCAGATGCTGGAGAATCTGAGATAACAAAGTGTAGAGCTGGATGAACACAGCAGGCCAAGCAGCATCAGAGGAGCAGGAAGGCTGACGTTTCGGGCCTAGACCCTTTTCTGAAGAAGGGTTGTGTTCATCCAGCTCTACACCTTGTTATGTCCTTTGATAATCCGACTGAGTACATTCTTACAATTTGATAGCACTCTTCTGACCAAGTTTTATATCCTTCAGTCAAATTTTTTTTTATCCATAACCAACATGTACCATAAATGTGCACTGTTTAGAGCACTATTAATGAAACTTTACATGCATCTTTGTCAAGTGCCTCCTTGAAGTCTAATGAAGAGCATGATTACTACAATCTACCAGGTGGAAGAAATCCAGGAAGTAGGTCAGGCAAGATTTTCTTCTCTGGAGTCCACTTTAATGACTACTACTTACATATTTCTATACAGATTAATCTTCAGTTTTACACCTATAACCAATTCCCTTATTTTACATAGGTTTCAAGTGACAGTCTCATGCATTTTGAAAACCAGCATCATGTTAACCTATTTCCAATCTTCTAGTGCTTCTACAATATCCAAGAGCTCCTTCATACTAATTGTTAAAACTTTACTTCTTCTAAATTTCCTTTAGCAGTTTGGAATAAATACAGCCCATTCCTAGGGATTTAATCCTTTCTAGTTTATCCAGAACCTCCAACTCTCTTGCATCGAAAGTGTGCCTGCATTAGCTCTCATTTGGGGAGACCTACATGCTCATGCCTTCCCATGGAGGTATAGAGTGAGGGAGTCATGGGATGGGTGGATGTCAGACATTGGCAGGGATGGTCAATGTGGGTTTTGTCCAATTATTTTACCTGGTTCAACAATGTTTACATAACATAACATAAAAAGAACTAGATGTGGATAACATGGCATTGAAGGATCCAACAGACATTGTTGGAGAGATGTGATAGCATTAGAGAGGGTGCAGCGAAGATTTACCAGGATGTTGCCTGGGCTGGAGATTTTTAGTTATGAATGGTGATTGGACAGTCTGAGGTTGTTTTCCGTGGAGCAGAGGAGACTGAGCACGGACATGATTGAGATGCACAAAAATTATGAGGGGCATAGACAGGCTAGATAGAAGGAACTTTTCCCCTTGGTGGACGGATCAATAAAGGGGGGAATAGATTTTCAGGTAAGGGGCAGGGGATGTGAGAATTATTTTATTAATTCAGAGGGTGGTAGGAATCTGGAACTCACTGCCTGTACGGGTGGTAGAGGCAGAAACCCTTCTAACATATAAGGAGTATTTAGATGTACAGTTGCAATGCCAAGGCATACAGGGCTATGGGCCAAGTGCTGAAAGATGGGATTAGAATAGTTCGGTAGTTTTGACTGGTGCAGACTCGATAGACTGAAGGGCCTTTTTTCTGTGCTGTAGGTTTCTATGACTTTATGACATTTACTACAGTTGGCTTTTATATGCATTCACAAGCAGAGACATGTCTGGGCTTGTAATAAGCTTTTCAATTATATCAGCTCCTGTGTTTTTGTTAGTGTTCTGTACTTCAAATGGTACCAAGTAAGAAGGTGATCCCCGGGTCACCTGTTGTGTTACAGTGAACATATCACAACCATCGATCTTAAAGGTGTGCTGGAGTATTGACCGTGAGACATAACACAACAGGGGCATGAAAGTGGATGTGGAGCAATAATTGGCATGGAAGTGGCATTGAGGGTGTAAGGTGGAAGTTGGGTGAGGAGTATAAGAGATTGAGGACAATACAGCATCTAAAACAACTGGTACAAAGTCCCAGAGAAATGAGGCCAGCTTGTTTCCTCACTTGCAATCCCAACAGTTGCCTTGGATTTGTTTCCAGGATCACTAGGCCTGATTCTATACTGCTCTAACATTCCTGGAGCAAAGATTAAGTCTGACGAAGCCCTTCTAAATTAGGATAGGCCCTTCGAGTTGGGAAAATTCCCAACTCAACTTACTTGCTTCAGCAAAAATTTGACACTGTAATCATAATGAGAAAGATTGTAATTATTCTCTTGACCAGAACAATGTTACTGACGTGTTTCATGTGGCAACTGGACTGAAGAGATATGAGAGATTGGCATGAAGTTTTGTGGCAATCTAAAGGTTCTTGTCAGTCTGTTGTACTGTCCATATCTCTCGGCCAGTTAGTCTGGTTCCAAGGCCCATCTAGGGATGTGATTACCACAGGGGTGTGTTGTAACATGTTCAAACAGGTTGACTATGTTTTTTTCAAAGCTGTGGGGCACTCTTAATTCCAGCACAGCCAAGATCAGTTAACACCATGGATGGCGAAACAAACTTGAAACCATTTTTTCTGCAGGCCTTAGTATAATTTGCTTTGAGAAACTACACCATCTGAAGAATTATGAGATGCAGAAATATTTCTATGGCTAAAGGTGTGTTACTGTTTTGAGGAAATTAAATTGTATTTGCAACATTCGGCTTGATTTTAGCAAATTCACCATCTAATTGAAAGCATCAAATATAGTCGTATCTAAATGTGGATGGCTATGCTGATACCCGCTGTTCAAATGGATGGAAGCCTACGGTGAAACTGCCCCCAGCATTAGGAAATAAGAGAGATAGTCTGAACTTAAGGAGAAAAGAATTATCCATCCCATTTACAATAAGCAGAAGTGCTCAATTTGAGTGGACAGAAATAATAAATCCAGCAAAATGTAATGAGAAAAATGCCCTTCTATGCTGTAGATCTCTATTACTGTATGACATTTATTGCAACTGGCTTTTATATGCATTCACAAGCAGAGATGTGTCTGGGCTAGTATTAATTTATTCAGTTATATCAGATCTTATATTTTCATTAAAGTGCTATGCACACAGGCCCTTAATAATTTAGGAATATTATTTCATACATCTCCAATATCTTTATTAATATTCTCAAATGTAAAAGGTGACAAAATTCTAAGACAGTGTGCATTCATTTATGTATTCAAGCATCACTATGATAACTTGCTGGAATTTTTAAAAGCAGAACAGCGGGGGTTAAGTTGCAGTCATCTTTTATTTGCAGAAATGGAACATTGTGATCTAGGAATATTATAAATTTCTGATCTGTTCTTCATTTACATTTCTGACAGCTTTAGTACATGGAAGAACTGATTCTAACTAATCCCTGTGATTTGTGGTCAAAAATATGATTTCCAACTAGCATGTGGTGTGGCGATGTCCTAGATTTGACAGAAATGTGCTCATTTTATATACCAATTGGGCACATAATTCAAAGTGTATATTTGTGACATCACAAAAGAATACTGACCATATCTTGCTATGAATCAGAAGCGCAAAATAGAGTTGGAGCCCTAAGTGTTTAGAATGATAGGTTCCAGCATTCCTATTGAAATTCAGTTTCTTATGTATGTAAACCATTACAGGACCTCCCACATGGCCAAATTAATTGGAAAGAGTGGAAAAACCCAGTGAGGATGCTTGTTACACTCAGCCTGCCTTTATTCCTTCAGCAGGCCTTTTACTGTCCTGCACAATTGAGTGATAGTGGGAGAAAAATCCACAAGTCACTTTTATTTTTGTTCATATAACAAGTGACCCAAGGGATGGCTAGGAAAGAGGTTATATAATTCCTGGGGCAATGGCAGTAGGCATGAGCTCCCTTTTTGTAGAAAATGCTCAATGGTGAGCACTTCCCTTTGCCCTCAACTTTCAAATCCTGAACTGACTTTCTGCCTCAGAGGAGCAGGAAGGCTGACGTTTCGGGCTTCTGAAGAAGGGTCTAGGCCCGAAATGTCAGTCTTCCTGCTCCTCTGATACTGCTTGGCCTGCTGTGTTCGTCCAGCTGTACACCTTGTTATCTCAGATTCTCCACCATCTGCAGTTCCTGCCTAAGCCCTTTAGAGATATCTTTTCAGGTCTCTTCGGTTCCTTTAAATGTCCTTTAATTTTTTCATTTGCTTCAATGAATGTTCTGTTTCGTACCCTTCCAGAGGTAAGCTCTCCTTGAGTTGGAGGGTTCTCACCTTATAATGAAGGAGGCTCAGCCCTTGAAATGTTCTATGGTAGGGCGGGGTGGGTTCAATGGGGGTGTCACACTGGGTTTAAGTCAGCTGGCAGAAAGCTTGCCTAATCTGTTTGAGGGAAATCCAGTCTAACAGATCATCTCATGTTGATCAGCTCTATTTCTGAAACAGTACTTTTCATGGGGAGTACTTTGGACAAAAATACAAGTATTCCATATAATCTTTCAAAGCATTTCAAACTTTCCAAATAATACTTCCATGGAGCTGTGTAAATTTTAACTCGTATATCAACAATTTAAGTAATGACTTGAGTACAAATGATTGAGGTAGTTAACATTATATCTAATAAAGTAAATCAAGAAATGTTATATCGGCATGTTTAAAATGGAGCATTTGTTAAAAGTGATAACTGTCAGTAAAATTTATCTTCATGTCATATGGAGCTGAATTTTAGTTTGAGTCATGAGCCTGACTTCTCTGAGCTTGATTCTGGGTCAGGAATCCAGAGATAGCCGTGACAGGAGGCCAGAAGAGATTTTTGAGGACATGACCCATTTAGAAATTTCCTCTGAGACCTCCATCTAATTAGTAATTGTGGCCCTGTAAAGTTGCATGTTGGAGCAGTGAGGGCAATGGGCATACATCTGAAGGTTCGCAAACACAAGGACTCCTCAAGATGGAAGTGCCCTCTGAAAACTTGTAAATGGTATAAGATACGGCTTGATCAGATCCACCAGTTCATTGCTGCAGAGAGGGAATCTCTCCATAGGATGGCCTGCAATCATGGTTGTGCCTGAAACCTGGATGATCTATCCATGCATTAAAGTTTGAAAATAAAATAAAGAAGGAAAAGATATAAAAGAAGATATGAAAGTTTGAATGCACAGATTCAAGAACAGCTTCCTCCCTGCTGTTATCAGACTTTTGAACAATTCTGATCTCTCTCTCTACACCTTCTCTGCAGCTGTAACACTATACTCTGCACTCTCTTCTACTACCCTAATGCACTTTGTATGGTACAATCTGCCTGTGTAGCACGGAAAGCAATATCTTTCACTGTATCTTGGTACGTGAGAATGATAAATCAATCAAGAATGTAACTGAGCTACCACCAGCTCCCACCCACCCCACGACCCCCCACCCCCACCTCCCCCTGCCGCACCCCGACATTCACCAGCATGCTGCAGGGAGGGGTGATCTGGAAAAAACAAATAGCGTATGACAGATCCCTCCATTGGCATTTTAACTGTCTACCCAGTCTGCCTGAAAATAACCTGAAGGTAGGAACCTGTAATCAGACTGGCATGTCAGCTGGTAACAGAAATTTGCTGCCAACCATCCTCCAAACCCACCATCCCTCAGGATGGAGCTTCTCCCCATGGCATTCACACAAACATTCAAAGATGGTATTTTCACAGATGCTGCACACACCTTTAAATTGGTGACCCAAGTACATTGGAGACACACATGGGGTAAAGTATCATTTCAGTGATTCTTTTGCAGCAGCTTGGGATATTAGAAGCAAAGTACAATTTGCAGATCCTTGGCAAACATTTTCACCACTTTCAGCCTTGCTTTGTCTAAACCTTTTCAAGTATGTTTTTCAGAATTATTTATAGCTTTAAGTATTAAGCTACCAACCATTACGTTGCAGCTCAGTAATGCTATAAATGGTCCAGAAAGAGGATCAAAATTCTAGAATGTTTTTGAGTTATGACTGAAGAGCCTTCTGCCCCAGTTTTGGCTCTCTCTTTCCGAAGACTCAACTAACAAATTGATTCACTGTGTGGCCAACATCACTGAGTGTGCAGAACTCTGTACCAGAATTGACTCTCAATATCCTGCAGACATATTAGGATGCAATGTGGTATTTCCTGAGAAAAGCAAAATACTCACTTGGTCTTGGATATTTTAAACAGCTGTTTGAGGATCTTTCCAAATCCAACACTATACACTTCTCCATCGGATATCTTTTTGCAAATCTTTTGCAATTAGAGTTGGACAGTAAACGCTGACCCAGCCAGTGAATCCCATATTCCCTGAGTGAATAAAAATATCTCCAGCAAACATCAAAAATCTACAGAATTGTGTTCCTGGAAATCTGACTTTATATGAAAAGACTTTAAATGACACAGATTCTTACAGGAATGTATGTTAAAACTAGAGCTAGGTTCCATAAGGTCTGTCTTAGCAGGAACAAAATCAAGACATTATATTGGCACCCTATAGTTTGAAATAGGGTACTTTAAATGAATAATTTCCTGCCATTGATAAAGTGATAAAGTGTGGAAGTGAGTTTGAAAATACCTATAAAAGAGAAAAATGTAACATGTTGCTTATAGCACCTCCCTCTAGCAGAGCCTCAATGTGGAGCTGGAGGAATACTGCCAGGGGTCTTTGCCAGGGACCCTGTGCCCATCAGGCTACGAGCCTCTTGCTACAGCCCTCGCCCGTTCTTTGTTGCATTGTGACCGCTGCCTGGCAGTGTCTGTTCGGGGGGAGCACTGTGCCCCTTCTTATTTGCTGTCACCATCTGCTGGGCCCAATCAAGGCAACTGGTTGTTGGGGATACTCCTTGTGGCTATAGGGGATTCTCTGTTTCACCGTATGCTTAGGGTTGCGGGGTGGATGGCAAAATATTGGGGACCAGTGGTTCACTGGGGGCCTGGCAGTCTTGTGGAGGAGAAGGTTGAGGTTAATTGTTGCAGACCCCTCGCAGGCCAGCACAGGACGACTGTTGAATTCAGCTCTGCCTTGTGGGCCAGGGGTTGCTGCTGAGTTTGGTGCTGGCAGTGCCCCATCCTCTGGGTAGGAGAGGAGCTGATGTGCTCCAAGGTGACTGGCACCCTGTGAAGTAGCGGGTAGCCCCCGCTGTCAGAACGAGACAAGTGCTGGGGGTGATGACAGCCTCTGGGAGGAATCTGGGTGATTAGGCTATGGTTTTGGCAAGCAATCCAGGGCCTTGTGATTCGGCAACAACATGGCACAGGGCAAGGCTGCCAGCAGCCTTGGGTCTGAGAAATAGTGAGATTGCACCAGTTGGGTCAGGTAATGTACATTATGTACTCCTGTAAACAATGTCATAAAGATTCTTTCAATGCTTAACGAGATTTTGGTCGTAATAACATACTGAAATTAAAGCAAAACAGTGCTAACGGGGTGGCATTAAATGTGGAATACCCATATCGTAATTGTGATTCCATTGCTGCAAAAGACATTTATATCCTCAAAAAAGTTTTTTCATTTGAGTCTTGGCTGTGGTGACATGATATCATAATTTTACTGTGATCATTTTCTTCAGAAAGTGCAAAGTAGCTAAACTAAGTATTTAAGGGCTTTCTTTCCTTTATTTGCAGTCGATATTCTACTCCATCAGTGGAAAATAGGCCAAGTATTTGGGGTGAAAGCCCGCCAAAATTTGTCACTAAACCAACACGATTGATTGTCAAAGAAGGACAGAGTGGTAAATTCTCCTGTAAAATAACAGGCAGGCCTCATCCTCAAGTAATCTGGTTGAAGGTAAATCAAGTTTGACTCTGATATTGTATAACACTGCTTTAAACAAACTCAACAATTTATTTTTATAAATGATTAATCTGAATTTTGCTTGAAGAAGTTGGCTACTTTAAAGTTCTGACATCTTTGTCAAATCTGTTACCTATTTGTATATTCCTGAAGTTACTGACAGTTGATTAGCTATTTCCATACATATGTATGATTATATCCCCTTGAAAATCCTTGCCTGCTAAGTTACTGCATAACTACCTTCTCCTTTATATGAGTGATGAGTAATGCTTCATCCCCTGCCCTACCACCCCAAATGAAGACCGGTTTTCAAATGCTGCGTCTCGCCTGCCACTTTTATATGTCCCCAGGGAAGGTTGGATTGCTGCATTGATCATTTTTGGGAGGTGTGACACAATTTGTAGCAATCAGCCATTGACTTGAACAGTATGGTTCTCACATTATATTTGAAGCTGTGGCAAGGCAGAAATCCCACCCCCAGCGAGCTGATGTCCAATCAGATTCCAGCAGTGGCATTGCAGTAACAACAGGGTTACCAGAATGGTGATCACTGCTGATTCTGTCATGGGAGCTTCGCTAGGGATTGACAATGGAATCCTAGAGAGAGGTGAGTGAGGCAGGCAGCAGGGAGACTGACAATAAGAGCAGTGGGTTGATTTGCTTCCCCTGCTGATGCCAAATTCCTTCATTGGGCACAGAGTGCCTGGTTACAAGGGACTCCCTCAAGGAGACAGGCAAATTCAGGAACAAAAACAAAGTTGCCGGAAAAGGTCAGCAGGTCTGGCAGCATCTGTGAAGAAAAGTTCAGAGTTAACATTTCGGGCCCAGTGACCCTTCCTCAGAACTGACAGTGGCTAGGAAAATGTCAGTTTTTCTGCAGAAAATAGGGAGGGGGATGGGGTAGGGAGTAAATGATAGGATAGAGTCTAAAGGGAGAGAAGAGCGGTTAGACAGACAAAGAGTTGGGAGGGTGAATAGTTGTTAATGGGGACTAATGCATTTCTCTTGGCAGCTGCCCACACTGTGATAGCCCAGTGGCTGCAGGTAAAATCCATCCCTTCCTGCCAAAGCTTGATTGTCTTGAAGAGGTGGGAATTGTATCACCCCTTATCTTAGGGAGGCCCACGCAGATGCAGCAGGCGGTTTAGGAAGGCAAATGGTATGTTGGCCTTCATCGCGAGAGGTTTCAAGTACAGGAGCAAGGATGTATTGTTGCAGTTATACAGGGCCTTGGTGAGGCCACACCTAGAATATGGTGTACAGTTTTGGTCTCCTTTTCTGAGGAAGGATGCTCTTGCTCTTGAGGGAGTGCAGCAAAGGTTTACCAGGCTGATTCCGGGGATGGTGGGACTGACGTATGAGGAGAGATTGACTAGGTTTGGATTGGAGTTCAGATGAATGAGCGGGGGATCTTATAGAGACTTATAAAATTCTGACAGGACTGGACAAGGTAGATGCAGGGAGGATGTTCCTGATGGTGGGTGTGTCCAGAACCAGGGCATCACAGTATGAGGATCTGGGGTAGACCATTTAGGACGGAGATGAGGAGACATTTCTTCACCCAAAGAGTGGTGAGTCTGTGGAATTCATTACCACAGGAAGTAGTTGATGCCAAAACATTGAATGTATTCAAAGGGCGGCTAGATATAGCACTTGGGGTGAATGGGATCAAAGGTCATGGGGAGAAAGCAGGATTAGGCAGTTGAGTTGGACGATTAGCCATGATCATGATAAATGGCAGAGCAGGCTCGAAGGGCTGAATGGCCTCCTCCTGCTCCTGCCTTCTATGTTTAAACCTGTCTTTAAAATCTTCTCCAGTGGGTGGTCATGACCTAAAGTCCCATTCTATTCATAATTTTAAAAATATTTTTAAGATAATTTAAACAATATTCCATAATTCAGTAGGAAAAGAGAATCTCAATGCTTTTCTTAAGTCCACAAATGTTGTTAATTCCTGATCTGAAGTAACAAGATTTGAAAATAATGACAGCCCTTCCTTTGAAAAGATTCATAAGAAGAAACTTTTATGTTTTACCAATTCTGTAACATATATACCCTGATTTCTCCTTAGTAAGTCTATCTTTTTATCTTCAGTCACAAACATAGTTAAATTTAGTTTTATGGTTAACTTTGCAGCTTTCTGCAAGTTGTACTTGTGTGTTTCCTCTATGTGTAACATTCATTTGAGTTATTATTGTCATTTGTGATTTCAGTCTATGTTGCCACAGGGAAACATGAATGTAATGCATGCCGACAGTCCTGTTTGAGTGCAGTAGGGCTGACTCACAGAGAGTTAACACTACAGGACTTCAATGTTCTCTGAAATGGATCAGATTTCAAGCTGTGTGTCTGACCCATTTCCTAGAAGCAATGAAAGATAGCTCAACATCCCACTGATCACACTTTTTCTTCCTTTGACATGTCTCTTCATTTGAACTCAGCAGGGGTCACTGTTAAGTTGTGTTGATGCTTTGGTGGATTGGAAGGACGTGGACAGGGGAGCTTTAGTTGATTAAGAACAGACATGAGTCAGACTGTTAAAAAACAAATTGTGGAAAGTGGGAAGCAACCAGTCACCGTAGGTCTGCAATGGAATAATGAAGAGGGGAGGTGTCACTTAAACTAGCACGGTGACCCACTTGAGTTGGGTATTCAGATCCGATGTTGTACTTAGCAGCAAGAATATGCATAAGCATTTATTCCATTTGTACTTTCCCATCGACTTTCTATGGATTTTTGTACTTGAGGACTTTGCCATCCAGCTATTCAAAAAAATTTTGTTCTCTCTATGGGACATCTGGGACCTATACGAACAGGGCATGCACCAATGTATCTCTCACACATCTTCTGTTTGATAGGTCAAAATGAGGAAGTGTCAGTTTAAATATTTTGAATTCAGTGTCAAATCAGGTACAGAAAGTGAAATAAAGAGACCAAAAGGAAGTTTGGATTGAGAGAGTGAAAAATAAGACAGAATGAAAAAGGTGAAAAGGAGTTTACACTTTTAAAAAGTATTTTTAAATCTTCGATAATCTGAAATAATGAAACTCCAGATAGTGTTTAGTGGCACAAGAGGTTATTGTATAGTAATTAAGATTTCTCAGATTGGCTTCCTGTGGCCCCCTATCCTAATCAGATGGCAAGCTCACTCTCTGATCATTAATTAGCCAATTTTGGAGGGAAGATCACAGCCAGGTGACTGTTATCCACAGAATATGGGCTCTGACTCCCAAAAGTTACTCAAATCTCAATTCGGGAAGTGTCTTTTGAGCTGGAGGAAAGTTGGGGAAGAGCAAGAATTATTGTCAGCAATGGTTCCATTCAAGGACATTCATTGTCTGTAGACACTCTTTGTATCTCTTACCAAAAAGTATCCTATGATTCTTATGTCAAGCTGAGGTTTACAAATTGTTTACAATGGAACCATGTTTAGAGGACTTTCCAAGTTGGTGCAACAACATAGCAGGGACTTTGCATGAGTCCTTAAAACTTGAAAAATTTACATTACTTCTTTCAAAGTCAACAAATTCCATGTAGACTTTTTTTCACTTTGTTGCATAAAAAGTACTTCTTAACATGTCCTTCTCATTTAACACAGTTAACTCATCAACTCATCAAAGAGACTCATATTAACTATCAAAGCATTTCTCTCTCTTCTTCATTCCTGCAAGATAGAAATTCTAATCTAAGCAAAACATACCTCTTTAAATGAGCAATGTATCAGGATTCCATTTTGCCTTTTCATTTCAAATTATGTCTGTGTTATGTCTTTTGTGTTGGAAAAAGTACATAATGTTTCCAAAAAAAATAATAACGGAAACCTGAGTATAAGGTTGATTTTATCTTTTAATTTGTATTGTTTTTGCGTTAAATACTTTGTGAACTCTTGCTTCCATATTGTATATTCAGCTGGATGACCCTGCAGCCACGTTGCATTGGCGGAATGCAGACGTTCAGAGGGAACTTTGTTGTGCAAGTATTTCTCATCCTTAGGACAGTGGTCTGTGCGCAATTTGACCAATGAGTTGATTGATTTAATTAAAATATGTTGAAAGTTCAGAACACATTTATGCAGCAAAACTTAATGAATGCGGAGGCTCGTCTCATGGAAGATGAAGTACCAGTAGCACATCAGCATAAAGTAGAGTCACACACAAATTTGTGTTTACCAGTACATTTAACTTACCAAATATTTCTTGTGCAACAAAGCCATTATTGATTGAAATAAAGACCTTGTCTACAGTTGGTTGCAAGTTAGTGTTGATGAAACTATCTAGCACATCAATAATTATCTGAAATTAAGACCAAGGGTAGTAGAAATGATAATGTCCACAAAATACTGGTAGAACCCAGTGGATCATATAGCAGAAAACTCCCGGAAACTGCGCAGGTGACTGGGGTATTGTTATGCAGCAAATAAGTTAATCTCTTGACTAGTAGTTCTCTTTACTGAGCAGTCCAATTAAAGAAAGGGCTTGTGTAGGAGGCTAACAATAAAAATGAAGACTGGTTGAATTGAGAATTGTTGAAGTAAAACCAAGTTTGTACGGGAGGAGAGAAACAATGCAATTGAAATATCATTTACTGAGACTTTTTTAAATTAAAAAATGCTTTTAGAAAAGAAAAGTAACAATTTAGTTGATAAAAGAATATTCTTTTTTCCCCCTAGGGTGATGCAGAGTTGCAGCAAAGTGATCATTTCAACATGTTTGAGAAATCTGGGATTCACTTCTTGGAAATCCGAGCTGCACAGGCAGAGGATGCTGGAAACTATGTGTGTTTAGTGATGAATAATTCTGGAAAAGCAATGGCATCCGTGGAGCTCATACTTCAAAGTATGAATGCTATTTTGGGCTACTTTTCATAAAATTGTCTTTCCTGACTCCTCATAGTTTGACTTTGAAATTCCTGATCTATTTACCATTTTGCACGAAATTATTCTTTATTTTGGGGAGAAAAAGACCACTTGGTCATCACTGTAAATGTTGAAATTACAACATGCACTGATGAACTACTGAATAGTATAAAACAGTTTCGAATTGTAAAAGTTTAAATAATTCTAAATCTTTATCAGACATTATATTGTCATTGAACAATTTCATTTAAGTATGTGTTTTGAGCCTGATCCATAACCACATTCAGCCAATACAGAAAATTATTTTCTTTCTTTTACTTTTGGGTTTATAGTCAAAAACTTCATAATGCTTGATTTGTATTGACAAAGGTGGACCAAGTGAATAAAATAAAGCAAAGAACTGTGAATGCTGGAAATCTGAAACAAAAACTGAAAATGCTGGAGAAACTCAGCAGGTCTGGCAACATCTTACGTTATGATGAAGGGACACAGGATTGAAAATGCTTTCTGTCCGCAGATGCTGCTGGACCCACGGAGTTTCTCCTGCCATTTCTGTTTTTGATCAAGATCGAATAACTATGCTTGTGTGCACTCTAATGCACAAGTATGCCATTAAAATAGCAAGAATGAGGGGTCATCTCAGAAACTTATAAAATTCTAAACGGACTAATCAGGGTAAATGCAGGAGAATTTTCATGATGACTAGGTAGTCCAGAGCCAGGGGCCACAATTTAAGGATGCAGGGTAGGCCATTTAGGACTGAAATGAGGAGAAATTTTTTCAGTTAGAGTGTGATAAGCCTGTGGAATTCCCTGCAACACAGATGGTTGAGAACAAATCATTGAATGCTTGCAAGGAGGAATTAGATGTCATACTTGGGGCTAAAGGGATCAAAGAGTGTGAGGAGAAAGTAGAATCAGGGTACTGAGTAGGATGATTAGCCATGATCTTATTGAGTGGTGGAGCAGGCTAGAAGGGCCGAATGGCATTTTCCTGGTCCTTATTTCTAAATGGTCCTGTGAGACTCCATCTTGACTCTGGGGAGTCATGAATAGGGTCTGAAAACAATCCTAGACAAAGTCATGAAGGTTGGTGAATGCCCCTAACCCACACCCTTTTACCCTCACACCGATTTCCATGCCCATCAGAGGGGTAAGTAGCAAAAATAACCATTCTAATCCAGAAGGGAGGGAGGTGAGAAGGAAACGGAGAACTGCAATGGGAAAGTTGTTAAAATCAATCCCGAAGTATGTCGTAGCTGGGATGTCAGAAAAAAAATTCAAGGTAATCAAGAAGAGTCAGCAATTTTTGTGAAATGGAAATCATATTTAACCCTAATTTATTAGAGTTCTTTTGAAGGAATGACATTTGCTGTGGTTTAGAGTGAGCCCGTCAACATACATTACTTTGATTTCTAGAAAGTATTTGACAACATGCTACACAAAAGGGTATTGCATAAAGTAGAAGGACATTGTGTTTTGGATAACACATAGGTTGGAAAGAACGTTCGTTGGCAGAAACAGAGAGTATGCAGAAATGGGACTATTTTCTAATTGGTAGGATGTACCAATGAGGTCCTGGGGGGTCTTTGCTGGGACCCCAGCTTTTTACGATTTATATCAACGACTTAGATGAGAAGAGTGAAGGCATGGTGGATAAACTTGCAGATGAATCAAAAATAGTAGGAAGTATGAGATAACAGGGCGTAGAGCTAGACGAACACAGCAGGCCAGGCAGCATC